TCATGAAGCAGTGGCCACTGCCTCGTGAACAAGTGATAGCGATCGACAAATTCTTTGCCGATCGCTTAGCAGCGGGCCATGTGAGGGAATCAACATCCCCTCACAGCTCTCCGACCTTCTGTGTGCGAAAGGCCACAGGAGGGTGGCGGATAGTGCACGCATTCAACAAGTTGAATGCTGCAACGGTACCGGCTCAGACGCCGATACCGAGAAAGGACGTAATCATAGATGGTATGTCAAAGAGTACCATCTTTTCGTCCATGGATCTGATGGATGGATTCTATCAGATCCTGATGCGTGAACGGGACGTCCCGTTCACAGCAGTGAGTACCCCCAGCGGGATGCTGTGGGAGTGGCTAGTGATGCCACAGGGGCTGAGTAATGCCCCTGCAACATTCAACAGATGTGTAACAAATCTGTTGAGACCGGTGCGAGACTTCGCACCGAGTTACTTCGACGATGTGTTCGTCCATAGCCGGGCTATGGACGGGAAGACGGACGTTGAAGTTCACAGAACTCACGTTCGTCAGGTTCTTCAACTTATGCGCAAGCATAAGTTGTACGCCAACCTCAAGAAGTGTATATTCGCGGCTAGCGAAATACCACTTCTTGGGTGCATCGTGGGGAAACACGGCGTACGCCCTGATCCCGAAAAGATCAAGGCGATCACCGACTGGCCAGTGCCAGTCGATGTCAAGGGACTTCGAAAGTTCCTTGGTCTTGCGGCGTACTTGCACAAGTACTCGCGCAACTACGCCGAGATGACGGTACATCTTTCTTGCTTGCTCAAGAAAAATGTCAAGTGGTCATGGAACGCTGAGTGCCAGCGTTCCTTTGAAGGTATCAAGCAAAGCTTGATGCAATCGCCGATCTTGGCGATTGCAGATCAGGACAGACCATTTCATGTGGTCTGTGACGCCAGCGATTTCGCAATCGGCTGTGCGTTAATGCAGTTCGATGCAGATGGCGCGGAGCGCGTCATCTGTTATCAATCGCGTCAGCTGCAAGCAGCTGAGCGTAATTACCCAGTGCATGACAAGGAACTCCTTGCCATGAAATACGCACTGGCTAAATTTCGCGTCTATCTCTTGGGAGATAGACCGTTTGTTGTCTACACGGACCATGCGTCATTACGCACGGCCGTAAACAGCCCACACCTCTCGCAAAGAATGGCGAGGTGGCTGTCTTTCTTCGCGGAGTATAACTTCTCCGTGGAGTATAAACCGGGACGACTCAATGTCGTCGCGGATGCTCTTTCGCGCCGGCCCGATTTCGAGCCGGACGCGCAACCCAACAGTGAGGACAAGCCCACTGTTGCGACACTGTCAGTCAGTGTCCCGTCGTCAAGCTTACTTGACGACGTACGAAAGGCATACGCGGAAGATAAGGATCTTCTGCGATTGATGGATCATCTGGTGAATCCATCCAGTAAATCCATGAGGGATTTACCGGCTTTGTACCGATCCTCATCGGATCGGTATAGTACACGCAACGGATTGCTGTACTATACAGCTGTTGCCGACGACACGCCTCGTGTCGTCGTACCCGCTCATCATGATTTGCGATTGCGCATCATGTATGAGTGTTACGATGCCCCAACAAGCGGCCATCGTGGTAGAGAAAAGACTTACCTCACGGTAAGTCGCGACTTTTACTGGCCCCGCCAGTATCAGTTTGTTCGCAAGTACATACGTGCTTGCGAAGTATGTCAACGGGTGAAGCCTAGTCCTTCATCCCGTGCGCCATTGCAGCCTCTGCCTGTTCCGACAGAGTGCTGGCAGTCCGTTTCAATGGACTTCGTCTTCGGGTTTCCCGAAGACGCTCACAAGAATAATGGTATTCTTGTGTTTGTTGACCGATTCAGCAAGATGGTCCATCTTGCTGCTGTCCCTGAGTCAATCAAGGCTCAAGGTTGTGCTCGTGTCTTTCTAGACACGGTCTTTAGACTCCACGGGTTACCCCGTGAACTCGTATCCGACCGTGACCCTCGGTTCACGGCGGAATTTTGGCAAACCGTGTTCCGTACTCTCGGAACACGATTGAAGATGTCCACTTCTGACCATCCAGAAACAGATGGTCAGACGGAACGTGCGAACCGTGTCCTCGAAGAGATTCTTCGAGGATATGTCCACTCGTTTCCGAGTTGGAGCGAATTCCTACCCATGGTGGAATTCGCCATCAATAATTCGGTGCATGCTTCAACACAGCACACACCGTTTTACGTGAATGGCCTACGCCATCCACGTGTGCCCACCCTTCTAGAGTGTGACTCTTGGATAAGGGGGGGAGGGACTCGCTCGAGCAAAAACCGTTTTGGCTCTTGCTCATCACGTGTCGACGCAAACGTCGTCACGTATGATGCCGATGTCGATCAAGTCGACATCGATGAAGAAGATCATCTCAATAATAGCGAAGACGCTATTATTGATTCGGATGATGATGACGATGCTGGTATATTCAGCATCGTCAACGATTATGCCAGCGAGGAAGAAGACAACCTCGCTGAAGAAGAGAGCAATCTCTTAGCAGTGCGCACGAAGCGCACTGAAAGACAAAACAAAGAGTCAGCAGAGAACTTCCTGCTGACTCGAGAAGCGGTAGTCCGTTTCGTTCAGGACTCCATCGCAAATGCGGTGGACCGTCATAAACGGAACGCAGACAAGAATGGAAGAGCAAATGTTCTTTCATTTAAGGTTAATGACCTAGTACTACTGTCAACGGTAAACCTACCTGGACATGCAGTCACTAGTGTCGGCAGTAGTAAACTACTGCCGAAGTACATTGGGCCATTTCGAGTGTTGCATCGCAAGGGCAATGCATACACACTCGAATTGCCACGTAGGATGCGCACGCATCCTACGTTTTACGTGGGGAGGCTCAGGCCGTACTGTCAGTACGAGCCTTCTTCTTCCGATGAAGATAGCCCCCACGTTCAAGAACATCCATCAAGTTCTTGCGTTCGCGCTCCAGACGATCCGTCTGGTCGCGCAGATATGATACCTCGGTATTCAACCGAGTTATCTCTCCGCGAGCTGTCGCCAGCTCGCCGAAAAGGGAGCGGACATCCCGCTCGACCTGAAGCTGCGCCGTGGCATAATCGGCGCGATCCCTCGCCCGATCAGCCTCGTGACCCTTGCGGTTCTTCCGCACGGTGTCGGTCAAAGCGTAGCGTCGGTCGCGCTCGTGCTTCAAGTCATCGCGCAATTCATCGATTGCGCGATCCATCTCGTAAGGGTCGAGATGGTGGGCCTGGGGTTCTGGAGGAGGTCTTTCCTCCTCCACCACATCCTTTGGTGGATGCTCACGGTGATCAACGCTTTCTAGTGGAGCGTATCTTGAATCACCGTGACGATTCAGGATCAAGGACGAGCTACCTCGTCCAGTGGCGGGGGTATCCACCCTCTTGGAACAGCTAAGAGCCCCGCTCTCAGCTGTTAATGGATGTTGAAGGTCTCGTCCACCAGTATGACGAGACCCATCCGATGAGTCCTGTGGCCCATCGGTAAACACGCGCCCTAGGCGCTTGTAGACGGATTGCAAGTTTGCAATCGCGTCACGCATCTCCTTCGAGAGATGTGCCCTTCCCCAGGGCGAATTTAGGGAGTACACATCCCTATGTGCACGCTGCGAGTTGTCAACACAACTCGCACAAGGGTCTCCCCATGTGAGGCAAGGAATGCCTGCCTCACTCGATAAACAATGCAACCGGTACCTAGCACCGGTTGGCGTTCGCCGTTCGAACCTGAGGCGTGTTGCCTCAAGTTTCTTGAGCCACCCTTCTCGTCCAAAATTCTTTACGTTTTGGACGAACGCGTTCCACGCAGCCAAAAGCGATGTTTTGTCACGCTTTTGGTTGCTATTGTACCATCGATGTCTAAGGAAGACATCGAGATAAAAATCTTCTTCAGCGCGAAAGTTCTTCGCGCTGGGACTCAAGCCGTGAAGCTCGGTTGCATCGAATAAGGGTATTCGATGGTGTTGGCCTGTCTCGTGAGACAGGCTATTGATGAGTTGTTCGGGCAAACGCCACGGCTTCAACTCATCACGCTTCACAGTGGTACCCTTGTCGGTACCACGGCTCCCAGATTGACGACGGCTCGCGCCATCGTCAACACGCTCGTGCGAAGACGCACGAGCCGGCGGTGGTGAAGAATAGAACTCACCACCCTGATCATCATCATCATCACTGCCGAACAGACTGTGATGCAAATCACGAGTCCGTTCGTTCGGCAGTGGTCTTGGCGAATACTGAGGCGTCGCCGGTGAGCGAGACGCCTCTGGAGCATTGCCCGAGTCAGACACGTCTGACTCGCCAGAGTAGATGACCTCCACATCGGGGTCATCGTACGCACGCGGCGTGATACCGCGTGCACCTGCAGCACCTGTTGCTGCAGGCGAAGAAGGGGCGGCAGACGACGAAGCGTCTGCCGCAGAGGCTTGCACAGCACCAGGCTGTGTGGGTCTTGAGTCACCTCGCATAGACATGTTAACTATGCGAGGTCAAGCGGAAAGTGAGTGGAACGGACCAAACAAGTGCTCCCTGTCCCAATGGTGGCCAACGGGTGGCCGCCATATTTTCGATAGTCACACGGTGACTAACAGTTAAGGGGGGGGTGATGTAACGGGGCAGCCCGTTACATGATATTGTCACTTAAGGAAAGTGACAATAAAGAATATAAGATGGATATTCTTTAAACAATATCACCAAAGTGGTGATATTGAAGGGTCGACCAAAGGGTCTGTTCATTGGTTGATATCGTGATGATATCAACCCACCAATCGCCGCAAGACGCGCGCAATGAGTGGTGACGAGACGTCACCATACATGCAGTTATATTAGTATAATTAAATTAAGTCAAACGAAGAGACAGTAGTTTAAAGACTTAATTTATTAATATAACAGTTCTACTTTTACCCTACCTACGCTTCCTCGCTTGCCACGTGTACGTCTGTCGGGGCACTCAAAACCCTTGCGTTAAGTTACGCAAGGGTGTGCCCCGTTACATCACGACTGCTGTCGAATTATCCACCGGCGTCAAATAAGGCAACATCAAACAGATAACGTTCAAGATTCCCCATTCGTCAATCATAATTGGGTCCACGACGGTAGCGCAGAGCAACTGCGGATGCAACTTATGCACTTTCTTCCACCGCTGGATCAAATCCGTTGTTTTCCACTTAATGGCACCCTGCTGTTGAGAAGCAACTGCATCCCAGACAATGCAAAACTTGCGGACGAAGAATTCTTCATGCTGCGCATACCGGCGAATGACGGCTAGCTGAGCTTCGCAGTTTATGGCGGGACCAAAACGTTTTCGTGACATTCGCGTCAGACCCTTTACATAAGTGATCGTAAAAGGCAGGCTCTTGACGAGAGCTGCTAGATCTACATCACAGTGTCGTATCCAGTCATTTTGACCACTCGGCGTCGTAGGCATAGAGCGAAGAAGCTCGACAATGCCTGAGCGCCCAGTGATCCATTTGTGTAGCTCCTTTAAATTGGCGGTGTAGCGACGAGATTCTTCCCCGACAGCCGTCGCAGCTGTCAACAGAGGAGGTTTTTGTGGGAACTTGCGGACCCTAGACGCCATTAGAGTCTGGGAATGCTTGGCAGCGGCTCGTGCTGCCGTTTGTTGGTCGTACAAAACTGCAATCTCGGAAGGAGGAGCCAGATCAGAGGTCGGTAGGGCTTCGGACGAGTCAGAGATAGCAGCTGGACATTTAGAATCAAATGTGGCTACAAGAGCAGCAGGAATTGGAACGGGATTGGGCATGGGGCTTGGGGTTGTGCGGTTCGAATATAGGTCATCCAACACACCAGCATGCTGACCAAGTTCATCAAGACTCATGGTGCTCTGAAGGCTGCACACCGGTTCCATGTTGACATCTGCATTCGCAGAGGGACAATCGGTGTCACCAGAAAAGAGGTCGACGGTATCGTCTGGTCGGGTAAGAGAGCTAGACCAGAGTGTCCCTGGCATGAAGTCATTGCTGGGACCGGCGAGGGCGAACTGTGCGCTGTCGTCTAACCCATGGGCTTGTTTAACCGGTGTCTTGAAGAAGCGACGCTTGCCCATAAATGTGAGTACGAAATCCATGATAGCCTACCTGATGCGCTGCCGCAGTCTCTTGGATATGGTTTCAGGAGTGTCTTCGGCGTCCATAGGTGTAGCAGCATGGTTGGGAACAGGTACAATGTCGGTATCAGGTATAGGTGGCATCCTGGTAAGCTTTTGTACCAAATTACGATGGTTAATCTCTGCTTGCGTGACGGCGGTAGTAGCTGCTTGCTCGGAAGAAACTGCCGTGCGGAACTTGTGCTCCAGTTAAACAAGCGCCAATTCAATCTGACGATCTCTGGAAGACGTGGCAGTATCAGTTGAAGTCAGCGTGATCGATCTCTCGATCAACGCACTATTTGCAACGTGATACGTCTCCTTTGTAACGGGGCACACCCTTGCGTGAACTTAACGCAAGGGTATCGGTGCCCCGACAGACGTACACAAGGCAAGCGAGGAAGCGTAGGTAAGGTAAAAGCAGAACTGTTATATTAATATACTTAAGTCTTTTATCCACTGTCTCTCTGTTTGACTTAACTTAATTATGCTAATCTCACTGAGTATATGGTGACGTCTCGTCACCACTCATTGCGCGCGTGTTGCGGCGATTGGTGGGTTGATATCATCAAGATATCAACCAATAAACAGACTCTTTGGTCGACCCTTCAATATCACCACTTTGGTGATATTGTTCAAATAATATTCAACTTAATATTCTTTATTGTCACCTTTCTTTAAAGTGACAATTCCATGTAACGGGCTGCCTCGTTACATCCTTGGCTACCGCTGTTAGGTCTCGCGAAATTGACTCCGCAGATCAAAGACCGTCAAGGACACTTTGAATTTCTTCAACTGGACCAGACAGTTGACTTCGCCAAGTAGAAGGCCCTGACACGACCGCGGCCTTCAGTTCGATATCGCTGAAATCTGCCACAGGCGGCAGAACAGTTCCGTTGTGGTCAATGCAATATAAAAGCGGGAGATTAGCAATCTTCGCAAAATTTGGGTGACACCATGCTAACGCTGATATGCCAAAGGCGCAGGCATTGCGAAAGCTTTGGATGCCTATCAATAGAAGGGCGAGCAACTCGAATATAGGATGGACCGCTTCATGGTGCAAGAAGGTTGTCACGAGCGACACTACTTTTCGAGCAGCCCAGTTTCATTCCAATCTGACCGTCGAGAACTGGTCTAGCATTGCTGGTTCCTGCAAATTTACTGTCGCTGTTTCAGATCGCTAGATGACGAATCCGATGATTAATTTAGAGTTGCATTGCTTCTACACGCTGATTGACTAAATAGGTATGCAGTACTTCAAGAGCAGCTTAGTAGAGATCAGTAGATGCATCCTGGGCTGTTCCAGCACAGGTAGCATGCATGCAGCAATTGCCGGTATTTTCTGAGACTTGTCTACTGGATTTGCGCACCTTAAGGTGCACTTATTTGGAAACTGAATCTATGAATTATTCCAAAATGTCGCTACCACGATAAATGATCAGCGTAGTACCCAGATCGACTGTGCTACTGGAACCTAATTAGTCCAGTTCTTAAAGTCGCATGAGCTACATGTAACTAGCAGCTTCACTTTCGGCAATGATCCACTAAAAATTCAATCCAGCGCTCATAGCTGGCTCGTGTATTTTTTGTGACAAAATATGCTTGTCTCATGTCACAGACATCCAAAGATGTCAATTTGAGTATAATTCGAATGTATATTGTCCAACATTGAATTCTTATTGGCGAATGTTATAAAAATATGAATTCTTTCGACAATGAGATTCGGCGCCGCTGCACTCTTTTGTTGATATAGGCCATGGTATCCAATAAGTAAACCACTAATCGCTGATAGACGCACGAAGTGGGTGATGCGCAAATCCTTCATATTCAATTTGTAGTAGTTTACAAAAGGATAGCTTACGACCAAAATGATTTAATATTTAACTGCATAAGATATAGCTCTACCTTTTCACATTATGAAGCATTGTCGTTCAAATGAATAGCATCTTCCTCTGCACGTATTGTGCAATTGAGGTTAGAGAGAATGTGCCTAAATTGTGACCAGTGTGGGCAGCTTGTACTGTGTCAGTTCAGGCTAGGATGGCCCATTACCATGGTTATGTATAATTGAAATATAAGCGAAGTCGTGGTATAATACCGTATAATATACCGTATAATTCCAAATTGAATAGTACCAAAATTAAGAAGCTCTAATTGAAGTTAGTACCCTCGCGTTCCACCTCCACGTCGAAGACATCCTCGTAAACAATGCCTTCAGTGCCGCCAGAAATGTCCAGGCGATCGAATTCTTCAATCGTGCTTGCAGCGTAATCCTCTTCATCATCCATCGTCTCTTCTTTGGCGTCTTCTCCGCTGTGATCACCAAACTGTTGTAGCCACCTGCAGAAGTTGGTATCCGAGTTGTTTTGATCCGTCGATCACGCTGACTTGAATTTTTAGAATGCCAGTCCCAGACTCGACCTTTTTGGTGTAAGTGAGCGCGTGAGCGACGCTGAACGCGCATATACGACTTGTGGTTGCGTTCTCCTCCGCTTACTCCAGCCGGGTTCTTTTGCGAAGCAGAGAGAGAACTCTTTATGCATCCGCAGCACTATCGTCGAATAACGTCCACAAGTCCGACGGGTTGAACTTGATGTCATTGAAGTCGTCGTCATCTGTTACTTATTTGCACACGATGAAAGTGGACAAATCGCTCGACATTGATCGACGCAGGTTCTTGTCGCTATATGAAAGATGGGCGGTTGCCGCTTTTGACTGCTGGTTGAGCGAGGCTCTCCCAGATTGCAAATTTTTCCGCCAAACTTGGCTGCGATTGAAAATTGCATCTTGCTAAATAATGAATTGTTTACAAATGCAAGACCACGGGCTTTTAAAAACTGGTCGCAAAACGCTGGTGAATAAAAGTGATCAAGTGGTCTCTGTCTTCGTTATTCAAAAGAAAAGCGTCCATCACGGTACGATTGAGCGTTTCCCGTAATACTTGATCGACACGAAGCACGCATAAAATGCTGAAAATGTCGCCTCGTCTCCCTCCAAGTACGTCAAACAGGAGCAATTTGTCATGACAAGATTCTCCATTGCAGAGGCACTCTTCCGATACACTGGATATGATATTAAAGCTTTGAGATCGTTGCTCATCTCGATGTCGACATCGGCGTTCAGAATCTCACATGGCAGAGCGGCACACGTCGTCTTCACTGTACTGGCTCGCTGCGCGGCGTAAATTACGGTGCCACTTCGGGTCTTCGTGAAAAGAATAAGCATGTACGTCTTATTATAAATCTTCACACACAGTTTGCCGAGAATTTGTTTAACAGATTAGACGATTGAATGCTTTTTACCATATACAAACTCTGCTTCAAAACGTACTTCGCCCCATCGACATTTTTATTAGATCCGTGCAGAAGTCATATATTGCGTGAGGTGCGCAACCGTAAGCAAATGCAAGCTCCTTCGTCTGCAAGCAACTTCTGAGCAGCTTGACCATATAAGTTGTCGATCGAAGCAAAAGCAAAAAATTGGGGGATGAATGAAGTGATCGTTCTCGGTGCATTTCCGTCCTTGTTCTGACTTCTCCATCGCATCTACGCCAAATTAATCGTTTATTCTATAAATTTTTGATCGCAAGAAACCAGGAGCCGCTTTGTAAATAGAATAGAGAAGCCGCAGCTTGCAGAAAAACAAACTCTTAAGCAAGTTATATGCGCTCTCTCTGCGCAGCTCCACCGTGAAGTGCTCCTACAAGTTGCGTAGGTCTTCAAGCCATCATGTTAATGACTTCATTTATTCTCCTTCGTGGCAACGTCAAGCGTAAAGCAAATGGGCGAAAACATGCCGGTTCGAGCATAACATCGTTCATGATCTCTGCATATTCTGCTCTCATAAGCTCGCCTACAATAGCGGCTGTAGAAGGAAGTTTAAAAGATCCGCGGAGATCCTAAAAAATCGTTGCACATCCCTGATTATCAAAAGCATTGAAAGAAATGGCCGTGCTATAAACAGCGCAGGCGAACAGCTGGTGCGGCTTCCTCATTTCGCCTTTCGTCATCATATCAAAATGCTGACGTCCGCCGGTGAAAAACAGCGAAGTGTTGTGTAGATCAGGCACAACCCTCATTCTTCCGTCAGCATCCGCTGATAAATGAATCGCCGAAGAAAAATCTGGCGTCGAATCTGCCGACCTTCGTGACGGCTAAAATTTTTCATCAAGCTGGTAAATGGAGCGGAGACGCTTCTTGCATCCAGACCAATGATCGAGCATGCGTACCACTACCGCAATCACGGCATCGCCGCACGCCGAGCACTTGAATGTAACGGGGTGAGCTTGTTACATAAAAATTGTTACGAAAGTACCAATTTTTGAATATTATCTAATTTGATAATATATAATTATCATCAATCGAGAAATGTGATGTTGTCGGAATATTACCTCTAAGGGTAATATCCATGGAGGGGTCCACTTCTTGGTTGATGTACCGTGTACATCAACCAATTTAAACACCAATCGGTGCTAAGCGCGCGCATTGGGTGGTGGACAGAAGACCCACATAGGAAACGGTAGTTTGATATAGTTAGATTAGGACTGAAGATGATTTAGTAAGAAAATTACTATATTAAATTAACAGTTCTACTTTCCCCTCAAGACAGAGCTTTCGGGTTCTGTATTGTCTTGGTCGCGCTTCCTCACGCCACATGTA